TAAGCTGGGATTCGTTGTCTAGGGTTGTATTTATCAATCGGGATAATACAATGATTCTCGCTTTAACTTTTACTGATTATGTTTTTAGTGTGTTTGTCAGGTCTCAAAATTCAGATCTTACTGCAGGAAACAGTTCTTATAATTAAGATTATTATGCATGAACTTAGGAAGGCACCACTCAGACTCTTCTGTGTTAAGCAACTTTAATATCTAAAAAAAACATAACACTAATATGCAAACTCTTATGCTCAGAATTTGCAACACAGTACTCCTTGAGATGTCCTACTCATTGATCCGTACATTTAACCCTCAATGGTTATGTTTGTTAAACTGGGTAACAGAACAATTGGCTAATTCCTCAGAGTAAAGCGAGCATACACAGTGATGGGAATAAGTCCTTCAAAAATTAATGTAACAATATTCATACGAACAGTAATAAAGAAACATGTGCCTAAAGCAAGAGTAGTTATCAATTAATTCATTGGTAAGATTACGCAATTAACAAAAGCGAATGACTAAAATACTTCTAAACAATCGTATTCATGTAACTCGACGGGCAGCAATGCTTTTCCCGAACAGCTGATGTTTAAGGCACCACCTTGGAATGGCAACCCTTCTTGAAACACAAAAATAACTTTTTGGAACAATTTTATTAGTCCCGATATGCGCGTTATGTATGTGTCTTGTCACTTATTGATTTAGCGGCTTAGGCAGTACAGCAATAAACGACTTCCATGACGATTCTGGACTGGTGTCTTTTATTTAACAGAATGTCTGCACAGCTCCGCGCTCTCTCTCTCTCTGGGTAGTTCTCTCGCTTTCTTGTCCGCTGCTGCTGTACGTCTCCCTCTCTCTCTCTCCGTTCACGCCGCTGCCTGGCGGCGTGCCCGGAGGAGAGGCGGCTTTGCTGGAGGTTTTCCACGTGGTCGTTGGCGAGGAGAGGTAGAGCGGCGATGCAGTCTGGACCCAAGGCTTCCCACACCGACCACCAGTTGTATTGTACTAAGCTATCAGAGTTGTGTAAGAAGTGTGCTAATACAATGTACGAGTTTTGAGAGTGAGTGATCCAGCCAGCGAAGCAGTGGAAAGAGCCGGAGCTGGCGCAGCCTGAAGTAAGGGCGGGAGAGGCACCACCGGGTGCATGCGCGAAGCTGGCAGCTGCACAATAAAGGTGAGAGCACGGAGAGGGTAAGGAGAGAGCATGGAGCAGGGAAAAGAGCCTGACCAGCCGCCCATGAGGAAGTGTAAGCGCTGACGAAAGCGTCATGGGTTCGACCCACACACACACCGACAAGCACCAGCTGGGAACCAAGACAAGAGTGAGGAACAGCGACCAGCGGACGAGCTGCGGGCGCTATCCGACGACGGCATCATCGTGCCAACTCAACCAACCAGAAGTGGAGAGAGCTGGCAACGGCAAGAGGAAGAGTTTTGGCGCAGGCAAGTGCGGCATGTGTTCAATACACACACACACCGTCCCAGTGGCTCTGCTGGAAACCCGAGGTATTTTCAGTACAAGTGTAATGAGAGAGCGTCACCTGGGGGGTTACAGGGGACATCTGCATGGCCACCGATGGGTAACCAGTATCCAATCTGGAGTAGGGATTCAATCTAGGCCAAAGGTAACGGGCGGAGCTACGAGGAATATTTGGGAACCATCTAGAGGGTTCCACGAGGGGGCGTGGCTGGAGGCGGAGCTTAGCTCCGCCGCCAGGCATGCAGCTACCAGCTTCACTCGGGCACCCGGTGGTGCCTCTCCCACCCTCCTTCAGGGCTGTGCTGGCTCAGGCTCTTTCTACTGCTCCGTTCTCTCTACTTTGGTGGGCAGCTGCCAGCTTCGCGTGGGCACCCGGTGGTGCCTCTTCAGGCTGCGCCAGCTCTGGCTCTTTCCACTGCTCTGTGCTCTCTCTCTTCGCATGCAGCTGCCAGCTTCGCGCAGACACCTGGTGGTGCCTCTCCCGCCCTTACTTCAGGCTGCGCCAGCTGTCTCCATGCTCTTTCCACTCTTTCTCTCTTGCTGCAGCTGCTGGTGGGAGTTGGCACTCAGTGGTGCTTCTCCCACCCTTCCTGGTTCAGGCTCTTTCCACTGCTTTGCTGGCTGGATCACTCACTCTCAAAACTCGTAAATTGTATTAGCACACCTCTTACACAACTCTGATAGCTTAGTACAATACAACTTATCACAATCATTTATTCTGCGACTCAAAACATCACGATATATGTAGAATAAAACGTTTAGCAATACTCTGTCAGTCTATGCCGAACTCAGCTCTTAACAATACATCGTCCCTTTTCTCTGCGAGAAACGACACCCATGGTTGATCTAAAAGCCATGCCCCGGAGCCTGCCCCTCGCAGTACTAAGTTGCATGATCCGTTTCCCTGCTTATATGTGAAATTCTCTCCCCTCTGCGCGTCTCTTGCAACAAACAGATGCCCTGTCTCGTTCTCCTCCCGTGGGTGCAGCTGCTTGTTTTTTGACCTTTCACTGGCTGCTTTCCATCACGTTTGTTTTTTGTTTGCGTCCCCCCCCCGCCTTCGTGGTGTCTGCTATCTCAAGGAGAGGCCCTCCCTTCATATGTATTTTATTGCTACCATGTGTTGTCAAATTGTTGGGAGACAAAGGCGGTTTGGAGGCTCTGGTCCTATCGAATACATATTATCTTGGTCGTGTCTATTTGACCTATTTCGCCTTGTACCTCTTTTGAATTACCCGAGGTCTTAATACTTCATAATTATTCGTTTTATGTTTAACCAAAATTTGTGATGTACCATACTTGTTACCACAGGTATTCCGAGGGTTTAATTAACTTGTTCTCCGTCTGTCACCAGGGATCCGTGTTTCTTATTCTCGAGTTATATTTTGATATCCTGAAGTTGGAGATAACTATGATGATTTAAGCTTTCGTGACTGCCAGAATTCATATTTTTTGGTTATTTCGGTAAAGTCACATAGATAGAAATATACAATAAGAAATATATAAGGTGAATAAGAGTAATATAAGTAACTAGCTCCTTTGCCTGCCCTAGTACAGAAGCTGTAATATTCGAGCAGAGTATAATTGTATCTTGTGTAAATTTAATGGCAGTGAATCTTGCACAAAAGTAGTCATCAAACACTTCACTGCAGTTCACTGTAGCACTGTATATAAACTGACCTTCAATTTGTTCATATTCACTGCTCTGATACTTTTAATCTCTTCTGCTTTCGGTCGCTGGGGTTGAAATAAATTGGAAATCGATGCATTGTGGAAAATCACTGAGAAATGTCTATTTTACCATAATGTAGAAGCATAAATTAGACTTACCTTTTGTCTCAAGTGCTGAAGAAATAAAGACACCAAATCCACTTTGTTGCTGTGTAGAATTATTTATTACATTCACTAGCAATGAAGAAATGTCAAAACTTAAAGCGAATTTGCAAAAATAATTTCTGCTCGACCTGCGCGAGTGTAAAATCCACCCGCCCATGGTTATTGAGGTGGGGCATCTTTTGCAGCGACGTCACGTACAGACGTAGCACTGTGCTGCGTAGATTTATTTTTGACTTTCTGTAAAGAAACATCTCATTTGAAGCGACTTTCTTACGCGCGAGTGTAAAAATCCACCCGCGCATGTTTAATGTATTATTAAAGACGGGGGGTGGGGGGGGGGCATGTGGAGTGACGTCACGCATGTTACACACATTTCTGGGCTATTATAGTAGTAATAATAAAAGCCACTAATGTAGACTGCAGTCCGGCTCTTAACCCGAGAGTGTACAGGCAGTCTATGTTGATTTATTCTTGTCGCTAAGTTTCGAGCTTTTAACGTTGTTAACAAAACGCCAGTTGCAATGTCCGATTGCCCCTGCTCTGCGTCCGTGGAGATCTGAATGGGGTGGTGCAACGACTGTTTCAGCAAGTTTCGATTTGAAACCAGGCTGTTCCTCCCGCGCCAGCGAGTCTGGAGATTTGTGAAACTGTCCAAAATGTCCGAGGTGTGTCCTATGGTCCCCCACATCGTGGAGATTTCCCAGATTGTCATTAACCTCCCTTTGTCCCAGGGTTTTATTATTTAATGGCCTCCAGCTGCTTGGTGTGGCTTGTGGGAGGGAGCGGGGTGAGAGGTGGGGGTGTGCCTCGCCGTTTTTCGTGCCCCATGCTACACCGATTATTATTTTAAAAAATATTGGCAGAATTATTCTTGATATTAATTTTTCGAAAAAGGCATATATACAACACTCCCCTTTAAATGTTTTTCAGTTTCAAAACACTTCAAAGGCTTTCAAACAGTGTACTTGATGGGCTTTTGAATGTGTGTTCCCTGGTGGTTGTGAAGATTTGATGACCGTGCAAAAATCTTACCACACAGTGCACCTGATGGGCTCCTCCTGTGCATGTTCTCTGGTGTCGGTCAAGATTTGACGAGGCGAGTTCTGCTCTTGTTGAGGTCACAAACCAGAGATAGGGAGGCGCTGATATCAACCATTCGTGACGTTGAGATGATGTCTCCAGAGGGGGCTTTTACATATTTAAGTGAAGATGTGGTAAGCAGTCGGATATTGATGGATACGGTTTTTTTCAAAAGTTGTATTTAAACAGATATTAAAATTCAATGAAACCTAGGTTAGAATACAAATCTGTAACACAAATCCATGATGCATTTTAAATGTGCTCTTAAAATGACCTCCTTGCTATGAAACAGATCATTCATTGGTCTCTCCATGACACAAATATTTAACACAAACTATAAATATCAGTCTTCTGGGAATGCATAATTGATTCAGTACAAACCATTTGTGGACCGGTATTGGTGTACAATGTCTCAACAGCAGTTAGGCTTGCTTCAACCGATGGTTACGATCATCGCTTGATCTAAGGGGCGAGACTGTCTGGAGGATAGCGCTGGAGTGGAAGAAGCCACGCTTGATCTAAGCGTGGCTTCTTCCACTCCAGCGCTGTCCTCCAGACAGTCTCGTCCCTTCAACTGATGAAGGCCGCTTGTGTTGTGGCCGAAACGTCGTGAATATTTGTTATTTTATTTTCACCTACGTGACTTTACCCAATAGAACCAAAGAGTATCCAGATGTTAATCAGCAAGGAGCATTTCTAGGTCTTGTGTGACAAAATCTAAAATACACGTAACATCATACAAAATTATAAGTCGTGTTGTGGAGAATGTATCTCTTATACGTAACTTTTAAGTGGTATGCTTTGTAACTGATGAATGATGCGACTGTTCTTTATTTCAAAGACAATGACTTTCTCCAGAGGCATATGCTTCCTGAATCACGAAAAATACTCTGACCTGTATCAAAAGAACAACAGCTCGCACGTGAGTTATATATGTAGGTTACTACCATGCACACACTTTTGTCATCACGTATTCCATGTTTGAGCCTTATGGACAAAATGTTACCTGTATGCACAAAATCAGACAAGTGTACATTAAATTATAATTCTAAATGATCGATACATATTGAAAAAATTTAATTACTGCACTGAAATGTACTTCATCATGTTATATCGTATTTACAAGAAGTTGATCTGTCGGATGAGGCCGACACCTGCAGCACTAAGATTGAGGGAAGCCAAGTGGTAGTGTATTCTCTTTTTGTTGCAGTGGTTCAGGGTTCAAGTCCAACAGGCACCCATAGTTAGTCCAGGAACATTAATTAAAAATATGCACCATCTGCATAACAGTGGATTTAAAACATTCTTGTGTCATTCAAAACGAGTAGGCCATTGCATGTTGGTGTCAGTCCAAATTTGGGTAATTCCAAATATTATCCAGAAATTACATGATGGCGATTACATATCAATTATCGCCCCCTGCTGATGCAGGCTGGTGCAGGGTCACCTTATGCCACACAGGGGCAGCTGCCACTTGGAGGTGCTCTTCGAGTGTTTGTGATGAGATATGATACAAAACTCCGTGTTGCTGAGGCCATTAAGCAAACACCCTATAAATGCAAATATTATTATCACATAGTGAATGCTTGGGAGCTTATTGGCTCTTGCTCCTGGTTAGAGATCTACCAAACACACAGGTCCACAAATACTGGCCGCTCTTTACTCTCCAGGTTGAACTGAGGAATTGAGTGTTCAACTTCTTTTCGTTAAAGGCCTGTGACCCAGGTGAATCTATTGGAGCTGCATTGGCTCAAGCTTACACATCTACCAGGTCTCCATTTCACTTTGCATTGACTTAGAAGTCCACTCACACCTCCACTTCCACAAACTGCTGGGAGTTGCCTTGCTCTGCCTCACAGTCAGAATTATCCTCCTGCTTCACATTGCCTCCATCGATGTGAAGGTTCGATTTTGGAGTTGAATCTTCATCCTCACATTTTACCTTCACTTCTTCGCTTGTCACTGTCAGTTCTTCACATTTCACCTTAGCGTCTTCATATTTCACCTTGATACCTTTCAAAGTGTCCAAACTGGGATTTCCTTCTGGTTCTGGTTTCATGAGGGATGGGCTCATTGCAGCACTTTGACTTTCAAAAGCTGATTTCAGACTCCCCTCCATGGGGATCTTCTGATGCCTGTGTGTTCTCTGGTGTCTTTGAAGATGTGATGAATGTGCAAATGCCTTTCCGCACAGAGTGCACTTAAAGGGTTTATCTCCCGTGTGTGTTCTCTGGTGCCTCCGAAGGTCTGATGACTGTGCAAACGCCTTATCACACACAGTGCACTTGAAAGATTTCTCTCCTGTGTGTGTTCTCTGGTGGCTCTGAAGAACTGATGACCATGCAAATACCTTCTCACAGACAGTGCACTTGAAAGGTTTCTCTCCTGTGTGTGTTCTCTGGTGGCTCTGAAGATCTGATGACTGTGTAAATGCATTCCCGCACAGAGTGCACCTGAAGGGTTTCTCTCCCGTGTGTGTTCTCTGGTGCCTCTGAAGGTCTGATGACTGTGCAAAAGCCTTATCACACACAGTGCACTTGAAGGATTTCTCTCCTGTGTGTGTTCTCTGGTGTCTTTGAAGATGTGTTGACTGTACAAACGCCTTCCCACACAGAGTGCATCTGAAGGGTTTCTCTCCCGTGTGTGTTCTCTGGTGGGTCTGAAGAACTGATGACTTGGCAAACGCCTTCTGGCACAGAGTGCACTTGAAGGGTTTCTCTCCTGTGTGTGTTCTCTGGTGGCTCTGAAGAACTGATGACCATGCAAATGCCTTCTCACAGACAGTGCACTTGAAGGGTTTCTCTCCTGTATGTGTTCTGTGGTGCCTCTGAAGGTCTGATGACTGTGCAAACACCTTATCACACACAGTGCACTTGAAGGGTTTCTCACCTGTGTGTGTTCTATGGGGCTGTATCAAATTTCCAGTATGTTCCTTACTGGTTGCATACTGGTCGCATTGTTTCATTTTTGTTCCGAGCTGCGCTGAGTGCGTTTGCTCCATCACACCAATTCTGCAGAGGAAGCGTCAAAGGAAGCGTCAGCTACAGACAGAAAAAAATATCCACACCATCTCCGCGAGTATCGAGGCACAGAGGAATGTATATATACAAATGGTCATAAATAAGGCTGGACGCCCTAGTATCTTCAAAATGAATGTTTACCAAAAACGCCAAGCACACAATTTCGGCTGTCTAGCTACAAAAGTAATATTTATTTAAGAAAAAGTCATCTAACATAGCAATGGGTGTTGAAAATAAAACTACTTGTGTTATGCAGATATACAGAACACCTCCATATCCTCTAATCACTTCTCTAGCAAATGCCATGCCTGTTTAACCCCTAATATTTGGACTAACAGAAACTGCTTACGCATGCGGGGTCTGGGAATGTGGCATTCATGACCGAACCAATGTAGTCTCGCCTGCCAAAGAGACTCACTGATTATATTCTATAATATCTTCAGGATCTGTAAGTTTCTAAAACAATATATGCTGGTTCAATAGAGGATGGATGATAGGCAGGCCAGCCTTCATTGTGTAAGCCAGCACAGACGTCATTGAAATAACTTCATATTTTGCATCCACAGAGAGGAGTAATATATGTGGCCAAGAAGAATCACAGCTTTGTTCGTTCATTCATTTCTAAATCAGCTTATCCTGGTGAGGGTTGTGGCAGCTGCACATTGAGTAGCGCCGTCCAAACCTCCCTTTCCCTAGCGACATCGACTCTAGCTTTTCCTGGGGAATTCCCAGGCGTTCCCAGGCCAGCCGAGCGACATAATCCCACCTGTGTGTCCTGGGCAGGCCCTGGCATTTTTGCCCAATGGGATGTGCCCAGTAGACTTCCAGGGGAAGTCTATTGGAGGGAATCCTTACAGATATTCTATATTGATACCACCCCTGGAGCCAGGCCTGCGGTTGGTTTTCGCCAACAAGCACCTGGTGGCCGGATGACCCACATAACCCGTTTGAGCCCAGCCCGAAATGGCTACGTAGCGCCGTCTTGTGCACCCACCATCCGCAGGACGAAGGATGAGAGGCAGCTGTGATGCCAGTATGGCAGGGAGAGGGATGGTCTCAGATGGACTAGACCTTGGCGATGGACACTCACAGCTTTGTATGGAGCAAAAGTCTAGGCAGCTTCCACAGTGTTACACAGTCTAATGAAAGAATGCTGCTCAACTAATTTTAACTGAGACTTTGGATGCCAAACCAGAGCTGGTTGTGAACACATTAACCAGGTAAAGGAGCTCCTCCACCACTTGTAGAACTGCCTCATTATTCATAAAGAGCTGAGCAGGTGCAGTATTTTATGACATGAAATTCCCAGGGAGGTGATTTATTTTTGTTTAACATATGCAAGAACCATTTCATAATGGAATTCTCCAGGTACAGAACAAGATTCCCCAACTCAATCTCATTGAGTAGCCATTACCAGATCATCAGCATACGTAACATGGTTGACCAGCAGGGGAGGATCCCTTAGCTATAGCCAGGTATTGATTAGCGTATCATTGTTACTGTATCGATTGCAATTTATTTATATGGCCATTGTGAGCTTCTCAAACTACATAATTATTGAAAATGCAAAGTAATGTAATGCAATGCATGGGGCCGGAGAGAAATTCTGCCACAAGCCAAGTTGAACATGAAAGGGCCCTGACTCCTGGTCACACAGCTTTAGATGGGCCTACCCAAAATCATAAAAATACTCAACAAATGTGAGCAGAGGCAGAGACATAGAAAACTAAGAACCCAAAGCCCCAAGCCTCTTTATGGTATTATAGGCCTTAATTACATCAAGCAGAGATCTAGTTTCTGCTGAAAATGCGTACACCTGTGCTATAGCCGATGGACAGAAAATACAGCAGCCCCTTGAATAGCATGGAGATTACATTCTTGGAAAGTGCCGTGTGAAAGCTAAAACAGTGATATTCAATACTTAAGCCTTACCTAAATAATTGAGTTAGGTAAATGGTAATTAAAATATTGATAACAGGTTTTCCCCCTTTTTTTCTGGCAACAAAACAGGTGTTAAGATGTTAAACAGCAAACTGAAACCTTTTACAAGGAATCATGCCTGCATCAACCACAATGCTTGTGGTCAGAATGCAAACAAAAAACACTGATAATATATGCATTGTCCTTGGAACTGATTGGTCCACACCAGAGACAGTGTTGGACCAGAGGACGCCAAAAGGGAATGCCAAAAGGAGTACGCCTTTCCACCAATTTTCTGTCGACATGTATGCCAAAAGTTGAAGCTTCATTCAATTAAACCCACCAGATGGCAAAACATCCAACATTGTTTATCTTGAAGCTCCCCAAGGGTAACGAATTTAAAAGCTGTCCTCATTATGAAACAAACAAGCCCTGCGATTGTATAACACAACCAAAAAACCGTGACAATATACACACATTTACAGACTTCATTGGCAGAATTCAATAATTATAATAAAGGCAGCATGGCAAAACATTACCCTTAATGTTCGATTACTGAGACCTGTGCAAAGCCAGGTAACTTAGTTATTACGGAATAAATACTATACTTCCGATGATGTTTGTGCATGAGTGGGGAGCGGTAGTGGACTGGTTAGCGTGCTGCGCTATAAACCCAGCGACCTGATTTATATTCCCAGAGCCAAGCCACAACATTTGGCTGTCGCCTGATGAAGGTGGTTGTAATTACTGGCAAACATCCTACTCAGATTGTAAATGTTGTGGCTTGGTTCTCCAACACACAACCGGTGTGCTGTACTGGTGAAGAATTGGCCACGTTCTGTTTACGTGACAAACCTTACTAATTGGCTGTGTCCGGGTGGTGGCGGGTTTAACGACACATTTATATATTTACGCGATCTAACCCAAACAAAACTGTATTATGGATGTATATTTGGAGTTTGCGTGTGTTTCTCCCCGTGGTCGCGTGGATTTTCCTCCGGATCCTCCGGTTTTCCCCTCCACATTTAGAGTCAACATCACCACGCGTTTAGAGTATTTGACAGACAAACATTTCCACACGTTGATAAGCCACTTTGTTGTGGGCAGGTCGCTTCTGAAAAAAGCGGTACAGCTCAAGTGGGCTTGGCCTGGTGAGATAAAAAAAAAACTCTAGAAAAATTTAAAATAAAAAAGTTTCAAAGTAGTGAGCCAGTTGAAGACAAATTAAACTTAAGCAGAGATTTAAAGCAAATGCAGTCAGGCGAGGGCAGGAGGCAAGGCCCCGCACGGCTAGGCCCCGCGTTGTAATGTTCCAACCTGGACATCGATTCCATCCTCGCTGCTACTCAATTGATATCCCTACGAGAGAGAGAAGGAGCGAGGCTCTACCTGGGTAAACAACAACAACCACCACAACAACCACCACGATGTGAACTTCTCACCTCGGACCTCAGCGAGCGCGAGCGCAGAGCAGCAGCTTCCTGGTATTGTCGTGACGTCACGCGGCAGCAGCAGGTGACATGACGTCACTTGCGGGGTTCAACACACAATCCCCTCCCCCAACGAGCGGGGGTGTAACTGAATAGATTATATTCTTAGTTTTTTCGGTAAAGTCACGTTGAAGAGAAACAACAAAATAACAAAATATATATAAAACAATAAAAAATTCTCACGACGTTTCGACCATAACTCAAACGGTCATCATCAGGTGTGTCGGTTTGCATAAATTTATTTTGAAAACGGCATATTTATTTATTTATATTTATATAAAAAATATAACGTTTGCGTCACGCGCAACTATGGCAGTTTGCCAGGACTAGTCCATCTATTTTTTGAAAAGAGGAGGGGGGAGACGAAATTTGTTTTTATGTATGCTGTCTGAAAGGCACTGTAAGCGTGAACAATCAATCAAGAACTGAAATGATTTATCAAATCTTTCCAATGATTGCTAAGATAGAATCCATCTTCTCGGTTGAAATTGTCTCTGTGTTTGTATATGTGGATAGCCTCATGAACGAATCTCTCATGGAAGCCAGATGGCTTACAAAGAACCTCCGTCTTGGAAAAGTCAATGGCATGTGAGCCTACTGAATTAGAACAATGATCTGCTACGGCCGAGGTGTTGGTCCTACCGTGTTTAAGGTCTGCTTTATGTTCACGAATGCGGTCCGAGATATGGCGTTTGGTTTCTCCAATGTAACTACTACCACAGAGGCAACTTAGTTTGTAGACACCAGGGTATTGTATGTCCGGAATCACATCTTTTACAGACGGAACCAGATCACGGATTTTATGTAATGTGTTGAAACGGACCTGGATCTTGTGTTTATTCAAGATTTTGGAGATCTTTTTTGTGATCCCAGCAATGTAGGGTAAAGTGATGGTTTTGAAAGGCTCCTCAAGAGGGTTCTTCTTCATGGTTTGAGTGATAGCTTTGCGGATTGTATAGTCGGAGTAACCATTAGCCCTAAGAGCTTGGTGTACGTGCTTGAGTTCACTGCTTATGTGTTCCTGGTCGGATATGCATTGGGCTCTATGATACAGAGTCTTGATGAGAGAATTCTTCTGTGATGGATGGTGGTGGGAATCCGGTTTCAGATAAGCATCCGTATGGGTAGCTTTCCTGTAGACAGAGTGGCTCATTGAACCATCAGGTCTCTTTTTAATTAGGACATCCAAAAAAGGTATCTTGCCATCTATTTCGACTTCCATGGTAAATCTGATGGCTGGGTGTATGGAATTGATGTGGTCGAAGAATTGGTCTAGAGCAGGCCGGCCATGTGGCCAGATGACAAAAGTGTCATCCACGTACCTCTTCCATAAGGTTGGGCGCAGAGTGGCAGTCTGGATGGCGTCAGTCTCAAATTTCTCCATGAAAATGTTAGCTATAACTGGAGAAAGGGGGGAGCCCATTGGGGTGCCCTCAGTTTGTTTGTAGAAAGTTCCATTCCAAGTGAAGTATGTATTGGTTAAACAGTGTCTCACCAGGGGGGGTACCTCAGTGTTTAGTCCTTGATGAACCAAGTCTTCAATGATTGCAATGGTGTCAGGTACAGGAACCTTGGTGAATAAGGAAACTACATCAAAACTGACAAGCAGGTCGTCTGGGGACAGGGAAATACCCTTGATTGTTGATACCAGGTGAGTAGAATTTTGTACCGCAGAGGTGGTCTTTCCAGTGAAAGGACGCAGGATTTCAGACAAAAAACGAGCTAGTTTGTAGGTGGGGGAGCTGATAGTAGAGACTATGGGACGAAGAGGTGTATCAACTTTATGTATTTTTGGTAAGCCGTATAATCTTGGTGGCCTGGCAGCAGAAGGTTTCAACGAAAACTGTTTAGATTGATCAATTAATGCGGTTGAATCAGAAATTATTTTGTTGGTTTGTGTGACGAGGCTGTTGGTGGGATCTCTTTTTATTTTTGTATAACTACCATCGTCGAGTAATTCTTTAATTTTGTTGTTGTATTCTATTTTATCCATGATAACAGTAGCATTGCCTTTGTCAGCTGAGAGAACTACAATATCATTCCTCTTTTTTAATTTATATAATTCAAAACGCTCATCTTTGCTGAGGTTGCTAGCTGGCATCTTAGCGTTTTTGAGGGTTGCAGCGATTTCAGATCTTGCTACGTCTGCAGCGATGTGACCCAGGCCCCTGAGAGCAACGTCTACTTGGGCAATTATATCATTAACTGGTATGTGTTTAGGTGTGACTGCAAAGTTTAGACCTTTAGCTAAAACGGATTTCAGACCATCGGAAATAGAACTGTTACTGCGATTAATTACGACTTTATTAACGTCTAACTTTTTGGTGTGTGGGTCCGGTCTTTTGTTTAAGAGGAGGTTAAATTTGGAAATCAGGTTTTCCTTACATTTGGTCGACATAGTAGCAGCTGAAGAGGCAGTCATATTGTCTACATGTTCCCAATCCGATGTGGACATTATTGCCGTCAATGATAAGTGTGATTTGTAGAGTGTCTTGTCTAACTGATCTAGTTCTGTGCGTATAAGTCTAATTTTTTCTGAGATAAGAGCTAAGCTAGTTTTGAAAAGAATTCGTTTCGCATTAGAAGAAGTTACAGTAGCAGAGGTGAGTGTAAATGCGATTGGTATTACCCCAGAGTCGCGGCATCTCTTCAGGAAGGTGAGAGACTCGATCAGCTGAGCTTTCTTATCCCGGAGTTTGTTGAAGGATCTTAAAGTTATGTGAAAACCCTCCCCGTAGAGGCGATTAAATTTTGATTTAAAACTTTCGTGACTGCAGTAATTCATATTCTTAGTTTTTTCGGTAAAGTCACGTTGAAGAGAAACAACAAAATAACAAAATATATATAAAACAATAAAAAATTCTCACGACGTTTCGACCATAACTCAAACGGTCATCATCAGGTGTGTCGGTTTGCATAAATTTATTTTGAAAACGGCATATTTATTTATTTATATTTATATAAAAAAAATAACGTTTGCGTCACGCGCAACTATGGCAGTTTGCCAGGACTAGTCCATCTATTTTTTGAAAAGAGGAGGGGGGAGACGAAATTTGTTTTTATGTATGCTGTCTGAAAGGCACTGTAAGCGTGAACAATCAATCAAGAACTGAAATGATTTATCAAATCTTTCCAATGATTGCTAAGATAGAATCCATCTTCTCGGTTGAAATTGTCTCTGTGTTTGTATATGTGGATAGCCTCATGAACGAATCTCTCATGGAAGCCAGATGGCTTACAAAGAACCTCCGTCTTGGAAAAGTCAATGGCATGTGAGCCTACTGAATTAGAACAATGATCTGCTACGGCCGAGGTGTTGGTCCTACCGTGTTTAAGGTCTGCTTTATGTTCACGAATGCGGTCCGAGATATGGCGTTTGGTTTCTCCAATGTAACTACTACCACAGAGGCAACTTAGTTTGTAGACACCAGGGTATTGTATGTCCGGAATCACATCTTTTACAGACGGAACCAGATCACGGATTTTATGTAATGTGTTGAAACGGACCTGGATCTTGTGTTTATTCAAGATTTTGGAGATCTTTTTTGTGATCCCAGCAATGTAGGGTAAAGTGATGGTTTTGAAAGGCTCCTCAAGAGGGTTCTTCTTCATGGTTTGAGTGATAGCTTTGCGGATTGTATAGTCGGAGTAACCATTAGCCCTAAGAGCTTGGTGTACGTGCTTGAGTTCACTGCTTATGTGTTCCTGGTCGGATATGCATTGGGCTCTATGATACAGAGTCTTGATGAGAGAATTCTTCTGTGATGGATGGTGGTGGGAATCCGGTTTCAGATAAGCATCCGTATGGGTAGCTTTCCTGTAGACAGAGTGGCTCATTGAACCATCAGGTCTCTTTTTAATTAGGACATCCAAAAAAGGTATCTTGCCATCTATTTCGACTTCCATGGTAAATCTGATGGCTGGGTGTATGGAATTGATGTGGTCGAAGAATTGGTCTAGAGCAGGCCGGCCATGTGGCCAGATGACAAAAGTGTCATCCACGTACCTCTTCCATAAGGTTGGGCGCAGAGTGGCAGTCTGGATGGCGTCAGTCTCAAATTTCTCCATGAAAATGTTAGCTATAACTGGAGAAAGGGGGGAGCCCATTGGGGTGCCCTCAGTTTGTTTGTAGAAAGTTCCATTCCAAGTGAAGTATGTATTGGTTAAACAGTGTCTCACCAGGGGGGGTACCTCAGTGTTTAGTCCTTGATGAACCAAGTCTTCAATGATTGCAATGGTGTCAGGTACAGGAACCTTGGTGAATAAGGAAACTACATCAAAACTGACAAGCAGGTCGTCTGGGGACAGGGAAATACCCTTGATTGTTGATACCAGGTGAGTAGAATTTTGTACCGCAGAGGTGGTCTTTCCAGTGAAAGGACGCAGGATTTCAGACAAAAAACGAGCTAGTTTGTAGGTGGGGGAGCTGATAGTAGAGACTATGGGACGAAGAGGTGTATCAACTTTATGTATTTTTGGTAAGCCGTATAATCTTGGTGGCCTGGCAGCAGAAGGTTTCAACGAAAACTGTTTAGATTGATCAATTAATGCGGTTGAATCAGAAATTATTTTGTTGGTTTGTGTGACGAGGCTGTTGGTGGGATCTCTTTTTATTTTTGTATAACTACCATCGTCGAGTAATTCTTTAATTTTGTTGTTGTATTCTATTTTATCCATGATAACAGTAGCATTGCCTTTGTCAGCTGAGAGAACTACAATATCATTCCTCTTTTTTAATTTATATAATTCAAAACGCTCATCTTTGCTGAGGTTGCTAGCTGGCATCTTAGCGTTTTTGAGGGTTGCAGCGATTTCAGATCTTGCTACGTCTGCAGCGATGTGACCCAGGCCCCTGAGAGCAACGTCTACTTGGGCAATTATATCATTAACTGGTATGTGTTTAGGTGTGACTGCAAAGTTTAGACCTTTAGCTAAAACGGATTTCAGACCATCGGAAATAGAACTGTTACTGCGATTAATTACGACTTTATTAACGTCTAACTTTTTGGTGTGTGGGTCCGGTCTTTTGTTTAAGAGGAGGTTAAATTTGGAAATCAGGT